TTTTCATCACCTTTACTGGCTCTAAAAACCAGGTTGCAGACTCATTAAGCTGTCTGTAGAATCCTGGCATCGTTTTTCGATTGGTACTGGCAGCCATCTTAGTACAATATTGAACAATGAATACGCGCCCGCGGTACCGAACCGCTGACTGTACGTAATTTTTCGCCATGAGGTCGCATGTTTATGAAAATAGATGTAAATCGATTAAAAAAACTGAAGTCTAAAAGGATATAGTTTCGACGTACAGTTGTGAATTTTAAGAGAAAATTTGAGCTTAAAAAAGCTTGTCATTTTGGAACTCGCGATGTAACGTCCAAAGTTTAAAACAACTACTTCGTGAGTCCCAAAATGACACAATAATTATGCGCTGTCATTTTGGAACTCGCGAAGTAACGTCCAAAGTTTTAAACAACTATTTCGTGAGTCCCAAAATGACACAATAATAAAACATTGTTACGATTTTGCAAACAATTGCTGTTAAAATACTTTGCCTAAAATTTCACCTTTATTTTTGTACGGAACTTGGAGGTAGTCCTCATGTAAGAAAAGAAAAGCTATAAGAAAAGCACAGAGAAAGGTAGTAGAATAGAAACGCATCAGCGTCATCTTGTTTGTTCTTGGTCACGTCACGAGTCGGTACGACGGAGCGAATCTGTCGGGAACACGAAGGTGACGTCATTTTCGGGATGTCGTTTTGAGTCTCGCGAAATAGCCTCTACCTCTTCAAACAAGTCAGACAGAGATCCAGGAATGTGGAAAACACTGAATAAAATTCTCTTGTTTTCTTCGTTATGATTTCAATTTTTCAAAAACTTAACTATTCCTTCTAGGTATTCAATACCTGGGCTTTACGTAGGTACAATTTTATGAACGATCGAGCGTAGAACTTGTAAAATACAAGCCACAGTGGACCATAGTAAAACAACTGTCCAAACACACAAAATATCGTCTCCAAAATAACTTAACAAAGATGGAGCTAAATGAACAAAAGCACTTTAAGGTACGAATTATAAATTGCTCTGTTGACTTTGAGTTTCTCTCCTTATTTTTCTAGGCTTGTTCTCTCGTTTGTTGTTGTTGTATAAGATAATAAGCTTACATGATGTACGAAAGTTTTGTACACGTAAATAAAAATACATGTATATGGACTGTATCTCTTGTGCACAGGTAAAATTGTGGCTGGAAGGATTATTTGGTGATGAGCCCATTCCTCAATATGAGATCAACAACAAAACTATTGAAATATTAGAACAGATGGCAGACAGGAACATGAGATGTGACCGTGATGCAGAGATCGTGATTGAAGACATGGTTCAGAAAACAGCTGAATATGATTTTGAGGGTAAAATAGATAGTTGTAATATGAACATGGATAATAAGAGAAGGCCAATGATTATTACGATATGGTCTACCCCACTCCAATTTTATTACCAGATTACCTACTGGTACTCTAATGATGTCTTTGATCGACCAAAGTCTATTGCTGAATTTCCCTGTCATGATATATATGTCTCAATCAGTGCAAAACCGTATCAATATCAAGTACCATTTTCTTCTTGTTCTTCACACACGTACAGCACAGAGAATAAGCAGAATATTGAATGATGTTGGAATCACACTAACAAGTTTATCACAGTCTGGTTCACATAGCATCAAAACACTCTCAGAAGTCTCTCTTCTCCTAGGACTTAAGGATTGCTCGTCATCRAGGTACAATGTGTAATCAAAACCAAAAAGGTTTGGTTATGAATAGGGCATAACCCAGTTGGGTAAAGGAATGTAAAGATATGTTTGCATGATGTTAGAATTTTGAAATATTAGGTAGATGAATGTATAAATATTAGGGAGCAGAATAGGCTAGCCCCCTTTTAGTCAAAAAGCTACCAATGCAGAATGCAGACTATTGTGAATTTGTAGAATGGTTGCTTCTGTAAAATATGAGAAAACATACATCAGATCTGCATCTGGGTCCCAGGTGCATGAAGAGCACTCACAATTTTTATCAAATCAAATATAAATGGTAACATATTTCAGTGTTATATAAAAGCTAAAACTAACTTTAAAATCTAAAAATAAAAAATGCAAGAAAAGTTGTACATGATTCATATTTAGAGTTGTTTATGTGTTTGTTTATTAATAGCCTAATGCTAGGCATAGCCAACCAATCTTGTGCCTTAGATGCTATTCTGGATGAAAGAGCAGAAGAGAAAAGAGTTTATTCCAGGCTTTTGGCCAAGACGAAATCCTCATTAGTTAAAGCCAACACTTTGCAAAGGTAAAGTATATTGATTATTATCACATCTTTATAGAGTTTGGTATCCCAAGATTTAGAATGAAGATTTGTGATCAGAACTAGAAAAAAAAGGCTGTTCAAATACAATATGCTACATTGGCCAGACTTCGGAATATTATCAGCCAACTTACACAGTATAATTTTATATCGCTATACATGAATTTACTACCATGCATGTAAAAGCCGGATCCCTTGGCTTCCCAGCTAAGAACATAAAGAACAAAAGACCGACTATAACAATAAGAAAATGCATGCTTATGCATTGACTGCACACGTTGAATTACCATGAACACTACATATACACACACACTACACAGTGTAGTCATGGGTGCATGGACATGTTAACATTCCCGTGAGCTGTACTGTATTTTCCACAATCTCTTTATTATTTAGAGCTCTGGAAACCCTAGAGGAGCAACATACATTACAAAAGCCAATCTTGGATAAAAGGTCCCAAGAAACTGGATTCTTACAAAGTAAAGCAAAAGAATATCAAAGGATTGTAAAAGAGCTAGAGGTAAGTAGTAAAGACTTATAATGTGTAGGTTCATACAGAATAATATTAATTAAATCGATGACTGCTTTTCTTATATATATTTTATTTCAATTCTATAGGAATACCAGAAGTCATTGGGGCTTGAGTCAAGTATTTTTCATGAAAATTTAGTAAAGAAAGCTGAGGTATACATTACTGTATATCTGAATATATTTTACAATTTATTGTATGCATGTAAAATGTATATCTATGTGCGCTAAGGCTCATTATCAATTACATTTATTATCTGTGCTGTCGTTTACTGTATAATTCTAGGTAATGTCCAATGAAAACAACTAAATTTATTATTTCAGGATATCAACTTGCTAAAAGAGAAAAGTAAACCACTGAAAAATAAGTTGGAAAGTTATCAAAATTTACCTCCAGTAAGTCCAATATATCAAATACCTTGTACATCTCATCTCATACAGATAACCATATTGCAAAGAACAAAGTCTAACCATGATTTGACAAATCAATGGTGGAGAAGTGTAGTCCATTAACTTCTCACCTCTGGCCCTTGGGTTTCATTCCAGCACGTGGCATCACATGACCATAGTGTTCGTTGGGACTCTCTAACCTAACTTGAGAGTTTTCACCAGGTTTTCCAGTTTCCTTCCTCTTAAACCTAACATGCTAAATTCCAATTAAATCTGTGAGTTAGCTATACTGTCCTGACTTCAACCAGCCCAGATAAGAGGTTGTTTTAGGGTATTGATAAAAAATAATAGTAAAATTTGGATTGAAGATTTGATATACTGTAGCCAAGTTTTGTTAATTAACGTGATGTTTAATATAATGTCTGTGAAATGTTCTTCAGGATTTATCACTTGCTAAAGTCAAAGTAGAAGAGGCAAAGAGAGAACTAGTAAGTACTGTACCACTTAGTTATCACTTATTGTTTTGATTGGTAACCATGGTTACAACACTTGGCTACTATCTACACTCTAAGCAGACAACATGAACAAAATTAATTGATTAATTGTGAAAACTTGATGTACAGTAAGACCAAATAAATCTTATTTATTAAGAGTGGTGTATTCTAAGCTGAACCATTGATACTTCCAAGTATATACATGTATTCAGTTAGTTGCATCTTAATTAGGGAAAACTGTAACATTTGTTTTTTTATATGGTGAGGTAGGTTAAAGGAGGGTGGGTAATTTCCTGTTGAAGGGAAGGTAGTCAAAACTGTTGAAACCTGACTAATATCCTGGGATGCTGCATGAGCTTTTTAAAGTGGAGTAAAGTATGAAGATTACTTAACAACATTAAAGAACCATATTTGTTTTGTTTTTTTTCTTCAGGCAAGACTGGAGCAGCAGTTATCAAGCAACATTGATATGCTACATATTTGATGGTACTGTATAGATGTACAAGTGATTACAACAACGGTTTCTATTTCTTTGGGAGGAGCTAGAATTTTGTAACATCCTCATTCCTCTAGGCCTTCTTAGCTTGGGCAACTTTTCTCATTTCATACCATAAGTCATTCCCTATAATATCATTACTTTGTTTAATGGTTGTGCATGAGAAGACACATGAATATGAGCTATATCTCAAACAAAGAAGTATACACTGGAATGACACAAGGTCTGAAATGGGTGAACACCATGCTCTAGGGGAGGTTTGATGTTGGAGTGCAGGTTATGAACCTGTAAAAAAGGCAACTAATTTGGACAAAAATAAAAGGAATTTGCATTGCTAGTGTTAGGCTAGTGTTCATCCATTTTCTTGAGAAAATGTAGTCTGCATTCTAGTAATACAATTCCATAACAACCAAAATCATTCTGGTGAAACTTAAATAGCCCAAAATTATTGTAAGCAGCTTATTAGATGATTTGAAGAGACTTCATATATATGATCACAAGTAGGATGAAAAAAAATTTTTTTTCTATATATGTGCTCTGAAAATAATGTAATAATGTAATGCAATACTCCTTTTTACAGTTCCATTCAGTGACCATGAATAATAGTTCCTAGCTCAGGCTGGAGTTTCCACGCATGATAAACTGTAGTTTTGCTACAGTATGCGCGGAAGCTCCAGCCTCAGCTAGGAAGTATTATTCGTGGTCACAGAATGGCACTGTAAAAAGGAGTATAGAGACAAAGCTGGATTCAAGAAATTACTTTTCAGCTTTCCTAACCCATATTGAAGATATGTGTTCCCTGCTAGCAGAGTCTCCTCCTTGGTGATTCTTGGCAGAGAATTCTTGCCAAGAATTGCCAACGAGGGAGATTCTGCTAGCAAGGAAGAAGCTGTGTAATGTAGATTTGACACAAACTACATTAATTTATATTGCAAGTTGAACTGAAGACGTTTCACAAAAAATAGTGCAAGATGTACTACATTCGCTAGTTTTAAAACTCATTTCTTTGAACATTTTGGTGAGCTGTCAAATCTTTTGCTTCATATCTAACAATATTGATCTGCCCTTTTTTAACTTCTGGATATGCAAAGCATAGTTGAAACAAGTTATTTGTTTTCGTGCAAATTAACCAGAAAAGGTCAAGTCTGAACTCAATCCACGAGACTGAGATATTGAGCACTTTAATTTTTACAATGCCAGTAATTTCACGCTTAATTATTTTCAATTAACTAATCCATGATTGTTTGAATGAAGAGGAATGTGTCAGATCAGAAGTAAACAAAAACTCATGTATTTGAAATTCTTCCAGCATTTTAGAAAACAWCTAAGGTTTACGTTTTAATAATATTTGGTGCAGGGGATGTCTTCTTTTTGACTTGCTTCTCTGTTATTCTTAAACATTAAAAATAAAAATTGTTTATAGAAAAGTGTTTTTCATTGTGTGTACTCTTGCATGTGAACAGCCATACTTAACCAGCATAAATTAGTGTGTTTACATTTGAACATTCTGCTAAACCATGCATAGAATCTCAAAGGTCCAGCCATCATAGTAGGGGGGCTTGTTTTGCTACACGCAATCAAATTGAAATGTTTCAGTCAGTTTAAAATTAAACATACTGTTAAGAACGTAAATTAAGCACCAATGTCAAGATTCCTTTGACATTTTTAAGAGCAGTTATTAATATCTTAACCTTTTTAGAAAGTAAATTTTTCTTAGCTTTCTATGTAAACATCATAGTCATTGAACAAAAGCCAGAAATATAAACACCACTTCAACCAAGGTGTCAAGTTTGACTGGTTCTTAGAACAAACTTAACAGTTCTCTTGTGTTCTTGAGAAGAAAAGAGTACAAAAGGCTAACAACAAAGTCTAAGTCTGACATTAAAAGAGCTTAAAAAACAAGCCTCTTGTGTTTGACATGTCAAATATTTTCAATAACTTACTGTAGAAAACTTGAAGTCATTAAATTTCAATTCTTCCAAGAATTTTAGTCTGTGTTTACGTTGCATAAATTTTTAGCTCCTAAATAATAAAGACATTTGCATGTACTAATGCAATGCATATAATGATAAAATTGTTTTCGAAAATCATATTAATTCAAGAACAAATTTGGGTTTTTTAAATATTTTTTTATTCTTTGGTTTCAAAACAAAATGTTCTTTTATCACATACAATACGGTTTGTTTCTTTTTTTCCTCCAAGATATACTTCTTCCATAAATATTTTCTTTTCTTTTAAATTTGATAAACAACAAAACATTTCAAAGTAAAATAAAAGCTGTTCAAAGCTAGATCAATGAAGAAACATCTCTAATGCTCTCAATATGTTTCTCTGGAACAATAAAAAAATTAAGAGTGCTTCTTTTGTTTTTGCAAACCACATGAGAAGTAAGTTTTTTTCCTGTTTTGGCTTCCAGCCATCACATTTACAATGATGGAAACCTTTTTCATTCAGAGAAGCCAAAGACTGAGACCCAAAGTTGCATCTAGGGCTGCAAGAAACATGAAAAGCACTCTTGATTTTGCACTGTCAGCTGCGTTTCTGCTGCACATTGCATAAAATACTAAAGCTTGTGTGTGCAAGTGACAATCAATTTGTACTTTCATCTCAGAAAGATTATTCACATACAAATTTTTCACACAAACTCCTATAAAGAAAGAAAATGTTTTTTGACAAAAACACCCCTGACTAACAATATTTGAAGTAAATAAAGCTTGCTTTATCTACATTAAAAACCTAATACTGATGTARAATTAATTTAATAAAATTTGGTGAAAAAGTTCTTTAAAGAAAGATAATTTTCTTATTGTGAACTCTAACCCTCCATCAATCAATAAGACTATTGACACATTTTTAGACATTAAATAATGATCCTTTAAAAATTATCTCTAAAATGTATAAACTACCTTAATGTTACAATAATTAAATGCAATGGTAATAAATAATAATCGGCCTCCGTACTCATAACAAATCAACTGGGAAAAAAATTTTCTCACTGTTGTATGATATAATGATACTAAACATCTTAAATCAGTTACAAGTTTGGGGAATTAGATTTAAAACTGTTGAATGATGGATGTTGTAATGATAAATTAAAAAATGATCAATTCTACTTTGATTGAATTAAGCTCTAGTTTGTAGCAGGATAATACTTGGGATCTAAAATAAGGCTATCTGTAAGTGCTAGCTAATTCTTCATTTTAAGCTGCTAGGACTTATTTTCCAATAACTAAGTTGCCTTGAGAAACCATTTAACATTGCTTTAATGAGACACCAAAGGCTACAATATAAGGAATGATCACTTAATGACTGGCAGTAATGATGATCTAACTTCTCACTTCATAAGTAATGCTTCATACTGTTCCATTCCCTCAAGGTCATCATTATTACAGTACAAATGAACTTGGTCTGGGTTTAGTCTTTTTCTTTCCACTCTTAGGTCTCAAAAGAGCTTCCTTTTTTGCTGACTCTGCCTCCCATTTCTTCTGACACTGTTTCTCATGTATCGATATTGAAGCTGTACCATATGCTCGACCACAGATATAGCAAGTGACATTTGAAGGTTTCCTTTCTTTGGTTACTTTCGTAGTGCTTTGTCTCTCACCTTCTGATGTACTGATTTGTTCTTGGCTTTTATGAGGGTTGTCCAAATTATTATTATCAACATCTCCTGTCTTATCTACTTTGATATTGACAGGAAGATGAACTGAATGCCTCTTTGATGGTAATTTGCTGGCTGCCAAGAGCTTCTTCTCATCCTTCTCCTTTAGAGCATCCCATTTTTTCTTGCATTGTTTCTCATGAACTGCAAGCGAGTGTTTTATGATCTCCTTACCACAGATATAACAGGGTTCCATCGTGGGTTTTTTTGATGGGGTGTACAGCCTATTATGAGACTTTGATAATTCCTTCAACGCTTGTAGACTATTGGTTGGTTTTAAGTTTCTACCACCCATGCATGCATCAAGTAGATTTTCACAAGATGCTGACTTGAATGTTGCCTTCCTTGTCAGGCCGTTAGGCAGGTTGCCATTTTTACTGTGCATAAGAACATTTTCCTTGTGATGTATAGCATTCACAGAGTCAGCCTTAAACATTCCTCCATGGCTTCCCTTTCGCGAATAATATCTTGGATTAGCAAGTTTCCATTTCTTTAAACATTGCGGCTCATGTATCTTCAAAGATTTTGATCCAAATTCATTACCACAAATATAACACACTAAAAGGTTTGGATTTTTGGTTGATCTGAACCTAGGCATACCCTCAGGGACTCTCATTGGGGTTTCCTGTGAATCTGTTGATGCATGAGATGATGTTGATGATACCGGTGAGGTATTAGAAATCCTAATGCCAATATGTTCAGGTGCTGAGTGTTTTCTAAGGGAAGTGATCGATGGTTCCATCAGAGTGCTGACTTCTTTCTCTACATGTCCTTCCTTTTCCAAACGTCCCTTTTCTGAGTGTCCCTCATTCTCACCATCCTTTGCCTTCATTAGCGAAATTGGATTGACTCTACTTGGTAAAATAGGTGAAGAATATTTTTTATTTAAGACTGCAGTTCCTGGTCTAGCAATTTTTGGTATTTCAGGTGATACGTCCCTAGCAGTGGTGTTGAACTCGGTTTCCTCAGCAGACAGATCACCATTTACTTTGTCCCTGTCTTTCAAAGTAACAGTTGAGGGTCGAGCATCATGTATTATTTCTTTCTCAATCTCTGTAACATGCGTGTCACCATTGGGTAATCGAATATCATTCATACTCTTAGAGTACTTCGAGTGTGATTTTATCGAAGGCCCATCCTTTCGTACCCAAGGATCTCGCAACTTATCCTTAGAAGTAGAACTCTTTCGCTTTTGCTCGCTTTTTTCGGCTTCCTTTTCTTTGTTTCTCTGTTTTTCCCATCTCTTAGCGCACTGTCGCTCGTGAAGATTTATCGAATACGACCCAAACTCTCTGCCACAAATATAACAAAGTACCGTCTGAGGTTTTGGCATCTTGTCTTCTTGCTTCAACGGATGGAACTATATTTGAGCAAACAAAGAACAAGTCAATCGGTATATTGGCAAAAACCATCGAGAGCTTGTGTCAACATACGCCAAGCGATATCAGGAATACCTTGACGAAATACCGAGCTAAATTTATGTGTTCAGAATTATTTTTAGAAGCGGAAACGTATTGTTCCTCACGAGGTCGAACATAAAGAACCTTCAGGTCTAAAAGCGATCGAACAAAAACAAATATTTTTTCACCCAAAAGAACACAGTTATTGTTTTAAAACGTTACATGTCAACAACTGGGTGTAAGACAAGCAGAATACTTGAGGCTTTTGTATCAGAAATAGGTCATTTTGAAGTGCTGAATTAGGTGTATAAAACCTTCAACAATCAAATGCCATTTAGATTATTTCATTTAACAAGTTTGGCTAAATCAACCTTGTATAGAGGACAGACCGTTCATGAAATAAAACTATGTCATATCTCTTTCGCTTTTGTGATAATTTTGACTACCGTTAAAAGCTTGAACTAAGAAGCAATTTGGAACGCTTAGATGGTACTGTGTGTTCTTGCTCTTACCTGTGAATGTTGTCGCCGCTAAACTATGTCCGAGCGGGTGACTGATTTGAATGAAAACACTCCAGATCTTGCTTAATTTACGTCAGGCAGGTTACGAGTGCTGTGGAAAGACATACTTCATTTCTATCACAGCGTGCCACTATTTGACTCAATATAGCTAGCACGAACACTCCTACAAGCACCCCTGGACTTCCACCTCATCAATATGTTGTAAGTCTTGTTGCTAGACAAGTTTCAGCTCGCAATTATCCCCTCCAAGGTGTATTTCGCTTCGAGTAGAAGATATACTTTCCACAATTGCTGAAATTCCACGAAACTACGCAGCCTTTCTCGACTCGTCGAGCAACAGAATAATATTTCTCGAAGATGACTTCACCCGTAAAATATTCGGCTCGTTAATCTAGTCGAACGCCTCTCACAAATCTACTCCAACGACGGCACGATAAAACGCACTAAAATCATGCACAGAATATAGCTTATTTACTTGCGATGGCGGTGATGAGATCAGAATTCTTTAACAGCATTTCTGCTGCTCGGCTACGGCTTTTGAATGAGTGCCGAGAAAGGTTGCTAAATGAATGGTTCGTTGGTGAGTGATTCGAAAAACAAGCTAATTACCGGAAATTAGATGATTGTTGATCCGGAAGTAAAGTTTCAATTTTAGGTAAAAGCCGCTGGATTTTTTTATTGCGCTTGAGCCTGCAAAGCGGATGTGACGTTTTGTATGACCGGTCGATTGTCAGTCGATTGCACCACTAAATGTAAAGTATCAAAGATGTAAAGGCCTCGTGCAGTAAAATATCGTCCCTCAAAACAACATGGCGGACGAACTAGCAGGAGAAGTCTCATCTTTGATGGACGAAAAACAACCTGTAAATCCCGGCGATTCTAAAAAGAGCAACAAAATTTGCTTCTTCTACGCCAGAAATAAGCGTTGTAAGTTTGGAGACGAGTGCAGGTTTGTGCATTCAGAAAAAAAAAGAAAAATTTTAAAGACGACCTCAGGGGAAAGTCCTGAAAGCGTTGTGGAAAGTTCAGGTTTATCGATGAATGAAAAAGTAGAAATTCCGACGTCAGTTTCGTCAGAAATAATGATATCTGCACAAGAAAATTCAGAAGATACAAACGAAGGAATTGTCAAAGAACCGTCTAGCTCTGAAGACTTGGATTCAAACCAGACAAAGTCACATGATGATCACCAAATAGCAGCCACAGAAAGGACCACAGAAAGACATGACTCAAAAGATAGCAAAGAACCAAAAAGAACTTCCAAACAGCGTTGCCGATTCTTTTCCACGAAAGCAGGATGTGCCAGAGGAGATGCGTGTAAATTTTCTCATGCAAAACCTAAAAATCACAGAAAACAGCACAAGGCTCCCAAAGAGCAAAACRTGCAAAACCAAAAAGCTAAGGAAGGGGATGGTAAAAAAGAAACTACTAAAGATACAGTAACGAAGCTAAAAGCAAATGAAAAGCAAGGTAACAGAACCATAACGAGGGTTGTACCAACATCTACAAGGCTTTCAATGCTAGATGACAATGAAGTAAAGAATTTAAGGACCAGAGAGCTGAATCAACTGGAGCGAGGGTTTGGGAAGCTTGGACTGAAGACTGTGAATGAGAACAACCAAACTACATACTATATTAACTTTACTCCTTCAGATCCTGATTGGGTAAGCGTAAAAGATAGATTTCAGAACCTTTGCGTTAAAGTGGGAAATTGAAATGGGATTTCAGAATACGAGAAAAAATGCATTCTGGAATTATTGTTCTGCAAAAAATGCATACTTGGAATTGGTCTGTAAAAAATGCATACTTGGAATTGTTCTTGCAAGCTCTCATTTAATTCTCCCCCTCATTTACTTTGGAATACAGTACATAGGTTATATTTGTTGAAATAAAAGAATTTCAACATTACAGTAGAAAAAAGGGGAAGCATTAGATAAATCATAATTGCTTACCCATACCACCCCTCCCATAAATAACAACAGTCTCTTTCTGAGCAGTGACTGAGATCTTTTTTAAAATGCCTATTATCAAATTACATAAAAATTTACATAATAAACATTAAATTTTTAGGTTTTAGTCATCTGAATCCAAAAGACCTTTCCTGAATTTGCTGGAGTGAGCAAAAAGCAATGGCTCCAAGTCAAGGTTGGACTTGATAGAATACAGTAAATATATGAACACATCACGTCCAATCTTGACTTCCAGCTATCATTTCATGGTCACTCAAGCTGACAAACTAGGGTGACTTTTTACACTCAATCTGATTGGCTGAAAAAACACTAGATGGCTCCAGTTGAAGCAATAATACTTGTTGAAACTTTTGACTTTTAATTGGAGCTAAATTGAAGCAATGTATTATTTTCAGCCTTTTGACATTGAAGTCATTCTTTTAGCTGTAATCTTTCCGGAGAAATATCCAAAAGTGGTAAGTTTATGCTACTTAGATTTACATGTATATTGTTAAATGATTGTTAAATGTCACTTCCTGATTGGTTAGGTTAGGGTTGCTTCACGAGAGCATACAGCATTGCATTCACACTTTCTATTCTGTCATTATAGTCCAAAATAATGGCTATTATAATTTGAGACATGCTTCTTGTAACACTTCTTTCATGTTCTACCAATTGAATCCTCCTTTGTGACTGTACACAGCTAGCACATGTCCATGCATATGTTCATGAATTTTTATCATTAGCATGCACATATTTGAGGTAGCTTGTCTTATCTGACTACCCCTATCCCCATTAAATGAAGACATGCATAAAATAATACACAAAAATTTACTGAATGTTTTGATAATTATTTTTAATTTTGATAGATGTTTAAGGCATTCTTGTCAGAGGAACAGGATCTTCCCTTGGAGTTGATAAGGTTTGATATATATTTTGATTGAACAGTGGTGGATTTAGGATTTTGGAAAAATGGGGCATCATTGTTCACTAAGGATAAAAGTCTGACAATTTCATCCTTCTAGTATATATTCTTAAGATTAACCAGGTCACTATAGGATATTAATTGAACCAAATGAAATCCTATAGTTCAATAGCATTGGCCAATTTAAGTCATGGCTTAAATAACGATGTCCTTCGGTTTTCAAGGGCGAGGGGTCATGCCATTTCCTCCCCCTCCCCTCCCCNCACACACACACACACACACACCCCACACACACCCACACACACATACGTCACACCCCCCACCACCACACACATACACACACCTTGAACCCCTCACTCCTCACTGCAGGTGTAAATACTTGGTTGGGTCTTGATTTTGCAATATTAAAGGCCTGTACTTTATGGTTGAAATGTGTAGATTTACAAACAAAGGAATATCAAGGTGGTTGGAACAGCAACAAGCTGCCAGAAGCACCAAAGACACTGTGGATCTTCCATTCAGACCCTTCCTAAGATGGTTAGACAGAAATATTGAAGAACTTTTTATTGAAGCTGCCAGAGAAATGAAGAAAAAGGAAGCAGTAATGGATGCAAATGAAGAAGAAAGCTTAGATATGAATGAGTCTTATCATGAGGAGGACAGTTCCGAGAGAAAGGAAATGCTTAAACATGAAAAAGGAAAAGTTGAAAGTGATAGTGAAAACATGGACCCAAATAAAGCTAAAGAACATCATAGAAGCAGAACAGAAAAGAAAACTCAGCAGAAACAAAAAAGGAAAGACAATTCTTATTCTTACACAAGTTCTGAACGGAAAGAACTTCTCCTGTCTGACTTTTTAACTTTCAAAAAACCCAACAAAAATAAGGGTAGTAAGGAAGCTGTGTCCAGTAAAGGTTCCCATGGTGATAGAACACAAACTGAAGATTCTCCAAAAGATCACATTGTGTTTGTTGATCAAGACTTGTCACTGAAAAAAGCAGAGAATCAAGCGCCAGAAAATGCACAAAATGACCTTAAGGTTGATGGTGAAGATACAAACTTTGAGAGTTACGAGGGATACCAAATCCATGATATGCCAAAAGGAGAACCACTAAGTCAAGGTGTTGGTAATGACCAACACAGGGGAACAGAAATAAGATTTAAGGAACTTGAACTATCTGAGAACACATCAACTCTGACCACCAACTTTGTGACATTGATGATGGAGTGCTTAAAGTGTAAAACAAAAACAGACATCAAAGTGGAAAAGGCAAGGTTAGTGGCCCTGAAGTAAGATTTTACAGCTTAAAGATAAGGATGGTTGACAAAGCCTTTTGGACCTTATTGATACAGTGAAACAACCTCTGGGCTGATC